AAGTACAAATAAAATGCTTATGATGCAACCCATAATGCCCAGTTTTGCAAATTATTATTACATGGTACAATGCAGATATATTTTGTGATCACGTGCTACGACTTCTTGCCAAAACGACCTACCTTTTCCCAATATGATTGTTTTGGCCGTCGTCGAACCAAACTCTGCCTCTTTAAGCATCTCCTTGAACACAATGTAAACTCGACGAGACCAGACCAAACTAAAAACTCGATATTAAGATGCCAAGATTGGACCCGAATTGAATCCAATCGACCTCGAAATATAAGCTTGTGAGCCGACACATGTACTACTCTCCCTTCGTATCATCAAAAGTGCTGCAATTCAAGTAAATAATGAAGCAATTACATTGACACATATAGCACTTATCATCTAAACCTTAAGAAATTGATGTAGTTTTAAAGTAAAGGTGATGGCCAGCATACCTATCATATCCTTCAAGCCTTCAACTAAAGTTGAACCCACCAGAAGGAACTGGAAGTTCGTTACCACCAAAGCGGAAACCAGGCTGATCCCCACCATCAGTTGTGGGCAACGACTCGTCCTCTTCCTCCAACCAATACGTCTCGAGTATTTTAACAGCCTTCTCATAGATTTCATGGTTGTCATGACTCTGGAGATTTTCAATCTTTTCTAAACCCTCAGCATCGTCGATCATCTGTGCGTATATATTAACGTCTCCATTGGTACCCAGATTCTTTTCGGCTTCTCCAACCTTCAAAATGTTCTCTAGCCCCTCTAAACAGACCGTAACAATCCTTGGATCTGGGCATACAAGAAGATCACACAATGGTTTGATGCACCCTTGACTGACAAGGTACCTGTACAGAAAGAAAGGTGGTCAATAAAAATAAGAAAATCCCGAGATGGGGGAGAACGAAGCTTCTGACACGACTTACTTAATTTGCTCATGAGAGCCACCAGATGTTGCATTTGAAATTGCCCATGCAGCCTCTTTCTTTATATCAAACTCTGCATTTTGAAGCAAATTGACTAGTGGAGGTATTAAACCAGCTTCAATGACAGCCTGCATAATGGACACATATCTTAGGTTTAATCTCGCAAGTCGGCCGAGGAATCAGTAATTAACAGGCAGAGATTACAGTAATTGACATAATTTCCGTTCAAAACTATAGACCAAGTCAAATACACAAATCCTAAGTTCGATTAGCATGGTTGACGTTGCTAAACATAAAAAAAAAGCCCAATCTTACCTGGATTTGTTCCTTGTTTCCGGCAGTGATGTTAGATATCGTCCAGCAAGCTTCTTTCTTGATACTCTTTTTATGATTGTGAGTCAATAAGCTCAGAAGGCATGGAAGCGCACCGTCATTAATTATACACTGATAAGATAAACAATCAGACAAATGATGAAATCATACACAGATGTATCAACATAAACAAGGCAATAACAGTATACAAACTCCAGTTATACAGTCATAATTACAGTTTGTTTCTCTTTTTGCTGTATTTACTTCATATATCGAGAAGAAAACTTAGAGATGAGATTTAAAACATACCCAAAATACTAGAGAGCTAATCTAGATCTATAGCATTCTTGAAATTACACACATTGTGGATCTAATGTATATGAAAGTGAGTTAAAATAGCTGTGATTGGTATGGAAATCTGCATTCATACCTGAGTTTGAATGTCATCTCCGGTCACAATATTCCCTACTGTGCGAAGGGCAGGAATGAGGACTGATGGCGAAGGATGTCTGAAGTAACAATTACATGATTCCAAAATAAGAAAAATGAAAAGGGAGCAATGTCATACAGATAAAACTTGTACGTGCAAGATATATGCTTACAATAGGAGTTGTACAAGTCGTCCGCACACCCCTGCCTCGATCACGGTTTGGATTTTATCATTAGTACCATCAGATAGATAAGAGAGTGCCCAGCAGGCATCCGTAAGAACTTCTTCATCATTTGAGTGAACTAGGCGCTCAAGAGCTGGAAGAGCTGGCTTTACCTGTCCAAGACAAATTCAAAGGTTATACATAAGCAAAGGAAGAACGATGGAAACATTTAAATCTCAAACTTCACTGTAATTACAAAAGGTAACCTGATCGAATGGAGGTTGTGGCTTGCCCCTGCAGAAGTTTGAAAGTGTCCAAGTTGCATTTCTCAACATGGAAAGCTTAGCATGTTCATTCAACTGTGAAAGAAGTGGAACCAAAGCTCCATGGCGGAGGACAAGATCACGACAAGTAGGTGAATCTCCAGCAACATTGCCCAAGGCCCAAACAGCCTACAAATTCAGAAACCATGTTCTTCAAGTTTAATATTCCATCCAGAAACAACGGGGCACACAAAAAAAACACTCACAGTTTGACCAAGTTCTAAGATATACCTGCTCTCGGACATCATCACTAGGAGAAGCGAGTAGCTTAACAAAAATTGGCACTGCACCATGATCAATAACCACCTTTGTGTGTTCTGAGGTCCCAGATGCTATGTTTGTGAGCGCCCAAGCAGCCTCGAACTTCAGGTGACATTCATCCAAGTCATTACAAAGAGAACAGTTGATATGAATTCAAGCCCACTTAGAAAGAATGTAATTAAAACCTGAAGTTGAGGGAAATCCTCCCTCACAAGAAATTCTACAAAACGCGGAACAACTCCAGATTGAATCACTTCCTCAATGGGAGGGCTTCGTTCTGCAATCGTCAATACAGTAATCAAAACGATATAAACTTTCATATCAAAAGAAGACGAACAAGAAAACAAACATATTACACAGTGTAATGCACAAAAAGTACCGATCGAAAGTAATTTCCGAAACTGAGTTGTTGCTTCCAGCTGAAGATTGCTATTATCAGACCAGACCCCCGCAACCATAGACGGAAGGCTCTCTAACTGCAACCAAAGACCAAATAACCCCTAAATCATAAAACCCCTAATATCCACATCCATAACTCCTTAAGGAAAAGTTCAAAGGTTCGAAAGATCAGATACCAAAACCTCAAGAATCACACATAGATCCGAGATCATTTACAACCAACACAATGGACAGAGTAACGTGTACAAGCAGATAGAAACGGAAATTGAAACAATCGAATGCGACAATACCTTCTTCTCGACAGTGGATGTAAGGACAGGAGAAGGAAATTGCTGTGCTTGAAGGCCTTCCCTACGCTTCTTCTGAAGGCTCTCTTCGCGTTTACTCTTCCTGATCTCCACCATATTATCTTCTCGCCGGCGTCGGCCCTCTTCGGCATCGACAGAAACCTTATACCGGTTCCGTCGAACCTCGGTTCTAGCAGTCGGCCTCAACGACATGGCTTCTTCGACGATTAACTTCGGATTGCTTCGAGTGCTCGATTCCAAAACCCTAACAGAAATCGCAATTTACAGAAAGAAATTCAAAAAATGATCGGAATCGCCGGAATCAAGAAAAACCCTAGCAACGACAATAATTGAAATCCTAGAACCGAACCTTGTTTTGTATTCGAAATACAGACTAAAAGGAGTGGTCAAGAGTTCGGACAAATTTATATAGATCGATGGTTTCAGAAAATAAAAAATAAAAAATAATATATAATTATATCAAATTAATAAATTTTTTTTTTTTTAAATTGCCATTTCAGTCCTGTTAATATATTTCTTCCATGATTATTATTATTATTTTCTTAATTTTGTATTTGTTTAATATAGATTATATTCTAAAATTTTAATTTGGTATATTTTTAAGATTTTCGATTTTGTATCTAATAAGCTCTCACATTTTCGATGGTAAGTCTAATAAGTCATAGGATGAACTGCAATTAGAATCCCGACGTTTGTCTTTCTCCTCTCGGGCACTTTAGGACTACATTAAGCCGCTTCATCCTTTTCTGGGTTGCAATTTTTCAAATTTCACTACTAATTTAACGAAGCTCGAGATGGGTCTCCCCTTACGTAACCAACCTATTCGATAGTTTTTAAATTTCACAAATTTATTAGACCCAAAAGGCACAATATTGAAGGGCGTGTTGAGGATTTCACATCGACTGATAAAATTATCTCACAATATTCATAGAGATAGCGAGTTACTCCTCTCGTCTTCTTCATTGCAAATTGATTTAAAAATAATTATAAAAAATCATTTATCTAAATAAAAAACATTGGCAAAAAAAAAAAAAAAAAATCAATATTTTAAAATTAATATATATTTTTATTGATGAGTTTATGATAACAAATATAGTCTATTTATATATAATAAATAGATATTAGATATGATGATAAGAGATATAATTAATTTAGGTTTCAATATTTTAGTTTACTATAATTGCATTTAATATTTAAATTAATGAGATAATAAATATTATAAACCACTTAAAATTTTGAAATGTAAGTCATTGTTTTGTATATAGTAAATAATAAATAACATAACAAACTTTAATACTATTTTGGATCATGACAATGTAAATAATTATTGAATCATCTTCGACTTGTTCGCCTAAACAAACTTTATACTAATTCCATTCTATTTTTTTCTCGTGTTTGCTAACTATTGGTTAAAGTAGGAAACTACATTGTTAGATGCTCTGTTTTATTTTTCCCTTGAGGCCGAACCTAAACTTGTGCTCTGGAGATATCTGTCCATATACTGATAAGGGATGTATGGATTCTCGAGAAGAGAGGAGCTGAGGTGGTCCCCCCAGACTGCTCGGATCCCACGAATGAATAGAAAGTTGGATCTATATTGGATCTCACCTGAATCGACCCATCTAGTCTCGTAAGGAGAAGTTTGGTTTCAAACCCCAATCTCAGGGTCAAACTAAGTATTGGTTAAAGTAGGAAACATTCGGGAATTGTAAGGGGTCGTGTTGAAGCATTAGTTGATCTTTATCTTGATCTTTACCATCAAATCACACACATTACAGGGGAATAATCTGGGCAGAAGTCAAAATAATTCATCATCATACATTTGTGGGAAAAGTAGATGAGAATCTAAGAGAAGCTGCAAGAACAAGAAAAACAAGAACATAAACGTAAACAAACAAGAAGAATATTTACATTGAAGATGATTTTTCATGAGGTTTTAATTAGAGAGATGAGAAATCTCCTAAAAGGTCCCACTGCAATGGAGCTGAGCCGAGCTTAGCATCGACGATCGAGCGATCTGCCCGTTATAACCAAATAGTTTCACACACATCGTGATTCGGGCTTCGAATGCCAACCGTACTTGGCGAAAGATTTGCATCTTTTTGTGTGAGCATTCTGAGGAAGATTGCTAAAGATTGAAATTTGACATTTCAAAGTTGCAACTAAAGCTAAGCTAAGCATACTATTCACAATGAACTTGTTGACAAGAATGATGAACTACCTCTCTCTGTTGTCTAATGTGGGAGTACTTTGATCTTGAGAGTTACAACAAAGTGATGGGGAACAAAACCAAGAAGCTTTCTAAACACAAATATTCTCCGTTTGGTATCCGCTAAAGTCGACCGATCCGTTGTCTTCTTGTTGCTGGGAAACAGAAAACATCGATCGAGTTAACGATGATATATGGTAAGAATTCCAGTTTTCAGAACAATCAAACAAAATATTCATAACAAGGAAAAAAACAGAAGACAAAACTAACTTCTTGTTTGAGAAAGACACCAAGAAGTTCATCCTGGCCAAAGTCCTCAGATAACAGGTCGGTTTGATAGCTTGCATCAGGGATGATCTGGTTCTTGACCTCCCCGGGATCGAAAAACGAGTTATGGTCGACACTTTGAGGAATCCCGGGTTGAGTTGAATCCAAAAACGAAAAGTTCGTCTTCCCATTGACTGATGAGTTATGATTCTCTCCATTTGTTTGGCTTGAAGGAAAACCGTGATGAATCAAAGATGAGGGTGAGATATCAAAGCTATGGTGAATGAAGTTTCCATGGTGTGGAGTACCAAAGGCCAAAGTGCTTACATTTTGAGAATCCCAGTCATGGGATTTCTGCATATGCAAGTCACTAAAAACACCATAACTCGACATTACTCCGCTCGATACTTTTAGATTTGAGTTCATTTCTTCTTGAAACACTTCTGTGGTTTGGCTCATTGGATAGTTCACCATAACCGACGTGGGCGAAACTAGGTTGTATCGAGGTCCGTGGCTATTATCAGCAGTCCCGTTTCCCGTTGTAACGCTACCTGATATGATCAGGTTCCTTAATGTCGATGGAATTCCAGGTAGGTGGGTAACATTAGAGTTATTTAGAGTCTGTCCTACAGTTTGCTGCTGAGACAAATGCATTAGCTGAGTGCCACCATGTTCGCTCTTGATATTGAGTGCCATGTTCATGTTCATGTTCATGTTCATGTTCATGTTCCTCTGAGTCTGCACAGAAGGGTGCTGCATATTGGCAAGCTGCTTTGGCTCCATTTTTGTTGGAATCCCATGAAACAAGCTTACAGGTTTAGTGTTGTTCAGGTGTTGTGTTTGGTCCTCACCAAACCTCAGCTTTGGATTTTCAAAGCTGAATATGTTGTTCTGATCAACAAGGGCCATCGGTAAGCTAGATTTCGCGGTAGGTCGACGAAGTCCGGTGGCTTGGAGGGCAGCGAGACTTTGCGGCGAGAGTTGACCGGTGACCAAAAGCGTCTGAAGATCAATGCCATTGTATGATGAAGCCATTGACCCAAAAGGAGGATGATCTTGAGGGTTCATAAAAGAATTGTTCAGATTACTTGGATGTGGCGATACTCCACTAAGCCTTCTAAGATATAAGCGATATTTCTACAGAACCATCAAATAAATACAACAATTCAGATACCTATTCTGTTAGACACAACAAAGAGCCCTTCAAAAAAATTTATACCTGAAGGTGACTCGCAACGTTTTCTCGAGAAAGCCCCGGAACGTTCATCAACTCCAGTATCTTTTTAGGGACAGCCTCTGTATTTTCAAAACAAGATTGAAAACATAGCCAACAAATGATTATTGATTCATCAAACTTTCAAACAAACACAAAATAAGATAAAAAGGAATGCTTTAAGAAAATGGGAACATAGCAGCAATGGATGTGTTCTTACGTTAAATTATAAGTTTAATTCTAGAAACGCTCATATCATAAGTACCTTAACTTTAGAAAATATCTAATAGGTCCTTAAACTTTTGATCTTTTGTGTCTAATACATCTCTGGCACGTTCAATATTTTTATAAAACCAACAAATTTGTTAAATATTGTGTCCAATAGGTCTGTGAATCTTCAAAATTGTCTAATAGATCAAGGATGTTAGAAATAAAATTGAAAGTTCAAGGGCTAATGTGAGATTTCACATCGGTTGAGGAGAAGAACGGAGCATTTTTTATAAGGGTGTGGAAATCTTTCCCTAGCAGATGTGTTTTAAAAACCTCGAGAGAAAGCTCGAAAGGAAAAGCCCAAAAAGGACAATATCGGCTAGCAGTGGGTTTGGACTGTAACAAATGGTATTAGAGCCAGATACCAAACGATGTGCCAGCGAGGAGGCTGAACCTCAAAGGGGGTGGATTGGGGGGTCCCATATCAATTGGAGAAAGGAATGAGTGTCAGAGGACGCTAGGCCTTGAAGGGAGGTGGATTGTGAGATTCCACATCGATTGGGGAGAAGAACGAAGCATTCTTTATAAGGGTGTGGAAACCTCTCCCTAACAGAGGTGTTTTAAAAATCTTGAGGGGAAATCCGAAAGGGAAAACCCAAAGAGAACAATATCTGTTAGCGGTGGGGTTGGGCCGTTACAACTAATGAGATACAAAAATAGAAAGTTCGGCAACCTACAAGACACTTTTCAAAGTATGGAGACTCGTAGACAGAATCAAAAGTTTAGAGACTTTTCAGAAACTTTTTACCGTTCATAGGTCTATCCGACACAAATTTAAAAAAGATAGTAATACGTTTGACAAAAAGAATAAGAAGGAATAGAAGAGAAAACATACTGTCAATGCCTAGCTGATCAACTGCTATGACAAATTGTTGATGGAGCTCAACTGACCATACCACCCTCGGCTTCTTTAACGCCGATGTATCGTCCCTCTCCTCGAGCTCTTCTTCAGCATCCCTCTTCCTCTTCGAGCTGTTCCAACTTCCATCATACGCCGAAGATGAATAATTTGCACCTTCAGATACATTTTGATCCCGATCTCCATCGTCCATGCTTCCGGATTGCTCTAAATCCTTCCATTCGCTCTTTCTCTTCCGAACCACATGTTGCCATATGTTCTTGAGCGCTTCGATTCGAACCGGTTTGATCAGGTAGTCGCAAGCACCATGAATCACTCCCTTCATCACAACATTCTTTCCATCATCTGCTGACATCACTGTACAATCACATGTCTCCAATATTAGTCTGCAAAATTATATAAACCATATAATTATATAAGTTAGCATTCAAAGATTCAGTAAAAACATCTAAACCATGTTACTCACTGATAACAGGCAAATCCATCTCCAGACCAACTTGCTCTAGAAGTTTGAATCCATCCATGTCAGGCATATGCACATCGCTTAACACAATATCAAATCCATTTTTGTTCTCACGAAGCATGGATAATGCAATCTCAGCCCGATTGCATTTCGTCACTGTAATCAAACCCCATAAACACCATATTAACTATCGATGATTTGTTGTACAATCACATACTTTTAATCCTTCAAAATTGATTTCGATGGTATGAAAATTGAGTTTCCAAGTGTAAAATTGTATCCGCTCAAACACACCGCTAGTAGATATTGTCCTTTTTGGGCTTTTCGCGTATGTTAGGGAGAGGTTTCCACACCCTTATAAGGAATGCTTCGTTCCCGTCTCCGACCGATATGGGATCTCCCAAACCCACCGCTAGTAGATATTGTCCTCTTGGGCTGGCTTTCCGCGTATGTTAGAGAGAAGTTTCCACACCCTTGTAAGGAATGCTTTGTTCCCCTCTCCAACCGATATGGGATCTCCCAAACCCACCGCTAGTAGATATTATTCTTTTTGGGCTTTCCGCGTATGTTAGGGAGAGGTTTCCACACCCTTGTAAGGAATGCTTCGTTCCCCTCTCCGGCCGATATGGGGATCTCCAAACCCACCGCTAGTAGATATTATTCTTTTTGGGCTTTCCGCGTATGTTAGGGAGAGATTTCCACACCCTTATAAGGAATGGTTCGTTCCCCTCTCTGACCGATATGGGATCTCCCAAACCCACCGCTAGTAGATATTATTCTTTTTGGGCTTTCCGCGTATGTTAGGGAGAGATTTCCACACCCTTATAAGAAATGGTTCGTTCCCCTCTCTGACCGATATGGGATCTCCCAAACCCACCGCTAGTAGATATTATTCTTTTTGGGCTTTCCGCGTATGTTAGGGAGAGGTTTCCACACCCTTGTAAGGAATGCTTCGTTCCCCTCTCCGGCCGATATGGGGATCTCCAAACCCACCACTAGTAGATATTGTCCTCTTGGGCTTTCCGCGTATGTTAGGGAGAGATTTCCACACCCTTATAAGGAATGGTTCGTTCCCCTCTCTGACCGATATGGGATCTCCCAAACCCACCGCTAGTAGATATTGTCCTCTTGGGCTTTCCGCGTTTGTTAGGGAGAGATTTCCACACCCTTATAAGGAATGCTTCGTTCCCCTCTCTGACCGATATGGGATCTCCCAAACCCACCGCTAGTAGATATTATTCTTTTTGGGCTTTCCGCGTATGTTAGGGAGAGGTTTCCACACCCTTGTAAGGAATGCTTCGTTCCCCTCTCCGGCCGATATGGGGATCTCCAAACCCACCACTAGTAGATATTGTCCTCTTGGGCTTTCCGCGTATGTTAGGGAGAGATTTCCACACCCTTATAAGGAATGGTTCGTTCCCCTCTCTGACCGATATGGGATCTCCCAAACCCACCGCTAGTAGATATTGTCCTCTTGGGCTTTCCGCGTTTGTTAGGGAGAGATTTCCACACCCTTATAAGGAATGCTTCGTTCCCCTCTCTGACCGATATGGGATCTCCCAAACCCACCGCTAGTAGATATTATTCTTTTTGGGCTTTCCGCGTATGTTAGGGAGAGGTTTCCACACCCTTGTAAGGAATGCTTCGTTCCCCTCTCCGGCCGATATGGGGATCTCCAAACCCACCGCTAGTAGATATTGTCCTCTTGGGCTTTCCGCGTAAGTTAGGGAGAGGTTTCCACACCCTTGTAAGGAACGTTTCGTTCCCCTCTCCGACCAATATGGAATCTCCCAAACCCACCGCTAGTAGATATTGTTCTCTTGAGCTTTCCGCGTATGTTAGGGAGAGGTTTCCACACCCTTATAAGAAATGGTTCGTTCCCCTCTCGGACCCATATGGGATCTCACAAAAATCAAATAATAAATTGATTTTGAATGAGAGGACCTGAACCACAAAAGGATCCTAAATTTAGAGTACTGAAATGATAGCTCCAGAAGCAAGCAAGATAAATAGCAGAATTTAATGTAATCTCTGTTATCCATCAAATAGGAAAACAAGCTGAGGGGGAAAAAAAGGGTGTAGTGATCTAAAACAAGCAGAAATTCGAGGTCAGAAGCAACCCTAAACTTAAAATTTCCTTAAAAACGATCTAAAATTCATTAGGAATTGATAACAAACTCTCTGCAAACAGCAAACATGCCATATAAACTCCTAAAAATGGAAGAACAAAGCAGAAAAATTAAAAGAAAAAGCAGAGAATTCAAGAAAGAGAGAAGAAAAAGGAAGTGTGGAATTGACAACAAACCGGCATAGCAGCAATTCTGCAGCATCTTTTCCAAGATCCTGAGACAGGTAGGATCATCATCCACAACCAGGACGCGAAGGCCCGCCGGGAACTGATCACAACCCATATCGGCAGCCTTTCTAGCAGAAATTGAAGTGGAAGTAGGCATCGTACCCTTCGTGTGGCTGGGATCCATTCCCCAAAGGCTCAAATATCCCCACAAGCAAAAGAGAGCTAAGAAAAAACCCAAAAACAACTACAGCTTCAGAAGATTGATCCCCAAATTCACAAAACCCATCTGTTTCACTGCTTGAAGATCAAATTCTGAGATGGATTTGAGTTCATTAGGGTTCTTGATTGTTTCTAAGGGTAGCAAGAATTGTACTCATAAAAATGGATCCAGAAGAGCGAAGAAGCAACTGACCCATGAACCCAATTGTTTTTGTTCTCCATCTGTATATGGCCTTTCTCTCGCCTCACCTAGCTTTGTCCTCCAATAGTTGAACTGTTTGCTGCTTTTCTACCACTGCAGTCCACTTTATCCGCTATAAACAGAAAGCAATACCTACAAATGCCTTGCTTTTAATAGCCAAATCCATTGGCTAAAGCTTCCTCTCCACAGGACTTTTAACTCGAGATAACAAGAAATAATGAAGAAAAAAAGAACAGACTTGAGCTTTTGACACTAAACAAAATTTCAATCAGGATGTCTGACACATACAATGATGAAGAAATTAACATTCTTTCCAGTTCGATTGATGATCCAATTTGAGGTCAGTTTATAATGGTGCAATTGACTTGCTAAATCGACACCCAATTGCACCATTATGAGGAGAATCTTAACCTTCCATTCTCAACATTGTCCTTAAAACAAAAAAATTAAAGCTCGACCCCCAAAATTTCAAGTGGGTGTCGCATAATCCAAATAGATTTCACAATACAACTTTCCCTATTTTGCATTTCGGGTCGTTTCTTTTTTTAACTATTTTTTCTATTTGTTTATTATAAAACTCAAATATCAATCATTCACAAATCACAATATATAATTAATATGTTGAAGATTATTAGGAGTGAAGATCATGGGTTTATAAGCGAGGAATACTATCTCCATTGGTATGAGGCCTTTTGGGGAAGCCCATCGCAAAGTCATGAGAGCGTATGCTCAAAGTGGACAATATCATACCATTGTAGAGAGTCGTGATTCCTAACATGGTATCAGAGCCATGTCCTAAACTTAGTCATGTCAATAGAATTCTCAAATATCAAACAAAGAATTGTGAGCCTCGAAGGTGTAGTCAAAAGTGACTAAAGTGTCGAACAAAGGGTGTAGTTTGTTCGAGGGCTTCAGAGAAATAAGTCGAGCCTCGATTAAGGAGAGGCTATTCAAGAGCTTCAGAGGCTTATGGTGTACTTTGTTCGAGGGGAGGATTGTTGAGAATTATTGGGAGTGAAGATCATGAGTTTATAAGCGAAGAATACTATCTCTATTGGTATGAGGCATTTTGAGGAAGCCCAAAGCAAAGCCACGAGAGCTTATGCTCAAAGCGGATAATATCATACCATTGTGGAGAATAGTGATTCCTAACATAAAAACCCCGGAAAATGTTTTAATTTTCATAATAGTTTTTAAAAGTAAGGTTGGATTGTAACTCTATTTTTAGGTTGGTCCAGAAAGAAATAACTCATTAATCGACCAAAATTTTCGATTTTTTTCTAAAAATTCAATTCAACCCAAACATAAATAAATAAAATAATAATAATAAAGAATCTAACACGATCGAGTTCCAGGTTATATGAACACTCCTATCCAATAGATGTATAGACATTAAATATCTAATATATTGATTTAAAAGAAATTGAAAATGAAATACATCTAAAGATATATTTAACTTTTAAAAAGCTAATAGACACAATAAAAAATTTAAAAATATTGAACAGAACAGTGAAATGAAATAATAAAAATAATAAAAATAAATTCCACGTGCTCCAAAGGGAATCCCCGTGAAGAGAAGACCCAACTTGCAGGGGTTGTCCGAGTCTATCAATTAGAAATAATATTATAATATAAAACAACAAAACAATAAATAATTAATTAATTATTTTGCAGTGGTTTCAGGCCAAAGCTACCCGTCAAGTTGCTCTCCGCTGTCCCTGACAAGCTATAGATTATTATATGCTTACCAATACATCCACCTGTGCTTCCCTCAGCGGCCATCTGTCCTTTCGGCTTTGTGGAAGATAACATATGTTTGGTTCCCATATGCTCTCTAACCTTTTTGTTTTTCTTTTCTTCTTTATCCCACTTCTCACACTCGAATAAACTCAAAACATCGTCTAAATAGAAGTGTGAAGATACGATCACTGTGAAAGCTTAAAAGAAATGAAAGTTATTGTCTATACTAACAAGATGCACCTTCCTTATTAGTGACTCGATCATAAGAACTCCGTGGTTTATTGGAAAAACTTGTATTAACCGATATGGGACTTTCATCCAATACCTCCCTTTAATCGAGACTCAACTCCTTTTCTTTTGGAGTCCTAGTCATTTTTTATTATGCTTTCGAGGCTCACAATACCTTTGTTCGACATTTGAGGATTCTATTGATATGACTAAGTTTTAGGGCATGTGATAAGATAAGAAATCAATACAATGGGAATAAGATTCGGATTCTCTTGTTGATCGAATATCTCAAGGCAAGAACACTTGATTGAGATTCGAATCAGTCCACAAGCTAGATCGATCATGTCTAGCTTGAATGATTCTTGTTGATCTGATATCTCAAACACTTTTTGGGATTCGAATCATTCCACAAGCAAGTTTGATCATGTCGAGCTTGAATGATTCTACATGCAACCTAAACTACATAGAGTTGCAAAGAAACTTAGTCATTGGCTAAAGAAAAACACAAATGCTCATTTTACTATATTTTTCAAGTTTGCTTACAAATACAATATATATGACTTTATATACCTTCAAAATGAAACTACTAAAGACATTCAAAGAGTCGTAACATTCATACTTAATGGCCATAATTAACCATTATGTAATTGTAACTTAAAGTAAATTAAAAGTCTTAAAATATAATAATGAAATACAATAACTCGTAACCCACCCAAAATTTATAACCATGAAACTTCATTCCTCTTCAATGTGGCATGAATTGCAACATCTTTTGATAATTTTGACAACATTTTCTTCACATTTTCATTGAAGTATATTGTATGATTGATGTCTCTTGGTTCATATCAGCATGGCACTGATACCATGTTAGATGAACACGATTCTCTATAATGGTATAATATTGTCCACTTTGAGTATATGCTCTCATGACTTTACTTTACACTTTCCCAAAAGGCTTCATTCCAACGGAGATAGTATTCATTGATTATAGATTATTCTCTAAATTGACCGATGTGGGACATTCATCCAACAACAGGGAACACTAGGGTCATCAAATCTGGATTTCGAATCTTGGCCATAGGACGTTACAAAAAAATTGAAGACGGTTCGAACTTGGCTTCTATTCTAAAACCTTTCTTCACAATAAAAATAAAATATTCAAAATAATTATAATACCTATCTATGAAGTAAATATGAGTAAAAGGACGAGGCTTTAAAGTTAAAAAGTAATCTGAATTTAGGTATAAAAAGTGGGATTGTTTTAATCTTTTTAATATGGACGATTAAAACTTAAATTAAATAACAATAAAAAAATAAAATAAAAGAGAGATCGAATTCTTAAAGTTAGTAGACATAAAATTAAATTTGTATTTTGAATAAATGAAAAGACCAAATAAATAAATATTGTTACGAGTGAAACCAAATATTTTAAAAATATAAATTAATTTTTTATTTTTAAAATGAGTTAAAATTTTACTTTGAAGGGGTCGAATAAATACTATTAGAAAATATGATTAGATCACTATTTTAAAGCTATTTTTTTCTTTTTCTTAAATTTCATTAAAAAAAAAAAAAGAATAAATAAAAGTATCTCCAATTCAAAATAGTTACAGTAAATCAAAATTTACAAATTATTTAAATACAATTTTAAATTAAAATATCACAAACAAACAAAAATCAAAATCAAAGCTTTAAACATGTTTATAATCTTTATTTAGCAAATAAAGTCAAAGATGCTGATAATCTTCTCATATTCTAAGGTATCTAATAATGCTCTTACATTTTATTTAATACACTTCAACTATTTTAATTTCCAAACTTTTAGGAAAGAATAATAAATAAATACGTTAGATCTTTTTAAGAGATTCAATAATAATAAAATAAATGTATGACTCATATCCACAGCTAGTAGATATTGTCCTCTTTGGGCTTTCCCTTTCGGGCTTCCCCTCAAGGCTTTAAAACGCGTGGGAAGGTTTCCACACTCTTATTAACGGTGATTTGTTATCCTCCCAACCAATGTGGGACATTACAATCCACCCCCTTCGGGGCCAGCGTCCTCGCTTGGACTCTTTCCTTCCTCCTATCGTTGTGAGACTGCCCCCAAATCCATCCCCCTTTGGGCCCAGCATCCTTACTGGCACACCGCCTCGTGTCTACCCCCTTTGGGGAAGCACATCGTCCGGTGTCTGGCTCTGATACCATTTGTAACGACCCAGATCCACCGCTAGCAGATATTCTCCTCAAGGCTTTAAAACGCATCTGCTAGGGGAAGGTTTCTACACTATTACAAAGAGTGATTTGTTCTCCTCGAAATCACATAACAAATTTTAAAACTATATCCAAATTTAAAGAAGTATTCAAAATTTATTTGTAGATAAATAAATATAATATGAATCAAATGTATTCATAAACTAAAAAAAATTAAAACATTTACATAATAAAAATTGAAATATTAGTTTTGATAAAAAAAAAATAAATTAAAATTTAAAAATTAAAATACTATAAATATAAAAATATAAAGATTAAATTACACCAAATTAAAATTTTCAGAAACTAAATTATAGTTTTAGGAAGGTTAAGTACCAAAACTATTTTTAAGATGAAAACCTACGAGGATTATGAGAAGTGAAAGTTAAAAACTGAAAAATACATGCCACGTGGCAACAAAGTATTGGAGGGAAGAAACGGCCAGCTAGACAACTACAATAATGGCCAATCAGCTCACGTCACTGTCGTAACCACCACGGAAGCATTTACTACAACAATTAAATATTGTAAAAAAAATAAAAAATAAAAAATTGCGGAGTCGTTAAAACTCCACACTCCGTAAGGGAATTGAAATGTCACTACTGAAAGCTGATACAGAACAGCAATAACAAGCATGCCGAAAGCAAGCAGCAATCAATTCAAATGAAAATTTTATTTTAGTTTTCTAGTTTTTGTATTTTAAGTTGATGGAGGAGATGTCCCATTTTACCCCACTCCACCCATCGATTACCGAAGGGATCCCGTTTGGATGAAAAAATGACAAATTCGATCTTCGTAAAAATGGAAAATTTTGTTAAGACGAGAAATGAAAAAAGTGACAGAGATGAGAATGGAAAAGGCTCTCTATCCATAATTTTTTTAAACGATTTTAAAAAATTGGTTATTTTAGACTTATTTGCAAAATTTTAAGAAATTATAAATATAGGTTTATGTTTATTTAGTCTTTCAAATTAAGTTTATCATAAATTTTTAATTTTTTTTAAAACTAATAAATATACTTTGACATAAAATTAAATGCTTAAGAATATATTAAATATAAAATTTAAGTTTATATCTAATAAATCAATTTAATTTTTAAAATTTTGAATTTATCGTGAATCTATTAGGCAAAAATTTTAAATTTAAAATCTATAGCACACAAAATTAAAAATTTTGAGATCAAATATACAAATCTCAAATTTTAGAGACTAAACTTATAATTTAACCAAAAAAAAATTAATTGATATAAGATGAAAATGTTAATATAAATTTATTTTATGAAATTTAGTAAATAAAATGATGTACTAAAGTTCTAATGGAACAAAATATGATAACAATAAAGATGGAGGGGCATAAATAGTATTTTTTGAAAAATATAGGGGTTAAAGTGAAATTTTGAAAATATAAAAACTAAAATATATAGGATAACAATAAAGATGGAGGGACATAAATAGTATTTTTTGAAAAATATAGGGGCTAAAGTGAAAATTTGAAAATATAGAAACAAAAATAAAAGTGGAAAGCCTAAAATAATATTCAAACATTATTTTAATGAATGATCTAAGTAGATACCATCATACCATAACCATAGGCCGCAGGCTAAGCACTATTCATCTAGGCTACCTTTTCTAATCACTCAATTGAGTTTCAAAAAAGAGAACACGTTTTAAATAGGCCACCAACTAAGTACTATCAGTTGGAGTATACTAAAAAATTAGATAAAAGTACCTCACGTGTAACAAACCAGATCCACCACTAATATTGCATTCTTCGGGCTTTCTCTTTCAACCTTCTCCTCAAAGCTTTAAAACCCGTCTGCTAGGGGAAAGTCTTCTTCGGGCTTTCTCTTTCAAGCTTCTCCTCAAGGCTTTAAAACCGTCTGCTAGGGGAAAGTTTCCACACTCTTATAAAGGGTGTTTTGTTTATAAGGGTGTTTTGTTTATAAGGGTGTTTTGTTTATAAGGGTGTTTTGTTCTCCTCCCCAACCAATGTGGGACATTACAATTCACCCCCTTTCGGGGCCGAGCGTTCTCGCTGGCACTCATTCCTTTCTCCAATTGATGTGAGACTGCCACCAAATCCACCCCTTTGGGGCCTAGCGTCCTTCCGGCACACCGCCTCATGTCTATCCCCCTTCGGGGAACAGCAAGAAGGCTGGCACATCGTCCGATGTCTGGCTCTGATACCATTTGTAACAACCCAGATCCACCGCTAGCAAATATTGTCCTATTTGGGCTTTTCCTTTCGGACTTCCCTTCAAGGCTTTAAAACGCGTCTCCTAGGGGAAAGTTTCCACACCCTTATAAAGGGTGCTTTGTTCTCCTCCCCAACCAACGTGGGACATCACATGATGTGCCCACCCACGTGAAACCAAGCAACTCTCTAAGCCAGTCACTCGAGCAAGGTGTGCCAGCTTGACCAAACACCTGAAGTTCATTTAATCATCCATTAACTATCCATCAATCAAATATTACAATTGGCTAAAGCTAATAATCCATAACTGATACTAAGAAAGACATGCTCAGTGGGTATGTCGTTGCTCTTTCCGTCAATCACATTTAGAAGTAGCTTATGTAAAGAAAATAGTTGCACATCGCCCCACTCTATGCTAACTTAATATGTCAACTGATAAAGATATAACCAATATTAAAATACCGCACCTTAAGTCATCCTAACAAGTTACACCAATCAAGGTAGTCGTGATTGAAGCAAGTATTATAATTTGGTGTCACTTTCATTGGTCACCTTGAATAGCCATAATCATTGCTTTTCCTCTCTTTAAATAGAGAGAAGATCAAAGACATACACGGTAACAATTCAAACTCATCGCTAACAGATATTGTCCGTTATAACTCGTTACGTACCATGGTAAGCCTCACAATTTTATAACGTCTAGTAGAGAGAGGTTTCTACACCCTTATAAGGAATGTTTTGTTTCTCTCCAACTGATATGAGATCTCACGATCCACCTCCTTGGGGGTCAACGTTCTCACTGGCACACCACCCAGTGTTTAGTTCTGATATTATTTGTAACAGTCCAAACCCACCGTTAGCAGATATTGTTCGCTTTAGCCCGTTACGTATCACCGTCAATCTCACGGTTCTAAAACGTATCTACTAAAGAGAGATTTTCACACCATTATAAAGAATGTTTCATTCCCCTCTTAAAGTCACTGGCTGCCATTCCATCTAATCCTTTCTCTTAATATCACGATTGCACAACATAATTATAACTCCTCAATCTCTACTATGTGATGAACTACAATAGATGAAGCCTATTTTTACTGTTGGGCTAACTAAATGGCAGTATAAACGAGCTCATTTTGACTTCAATTTCCAAGCGCGGCATAAACCAACTCCCCTGAAATTTGTGGCTGAGAGGAAAAGGTCAAACTTAATACTAAGTTAGAGAACGCATTCTCAAGTCTACTCTATTTGACCTCATCTCTTCATATGTATCCTCTTATGAACTAAATTTGGCGCACGTAGATTGTGCGGAGGGGAAAAAATCAATGATCCTACTTCCATGAATAAGAGATGCCTCATGGCTCACGTCATTCTCCTCTCTCAAGAGAATTCCTCTTATGGTGCATAGAAGGGAACTTGAACGTGGGACCTACAACTTTGAGGTGATGGAGGATAGATATTGATTATAGCCTAACTCTCCCAAAAGTTACAGGGGCAAGTTCAATATATTCCCGTTCACCACGTGGGATCGAGTACAAGAATATACTTTTGAGTCTTTTCCATTTAGAATTATATGCTTGAAGACATCCTGTATGAACCCGATTGGGCACGCTCAATAAGCAGGAAGAAAAGCTTCCAAATTCCGCAAAACCTACCCGTTGATCCTTGCTGATCCCAAAAATATTGATTATGCAATTTATCAGAAACCAGTCGCCTAATTAGTGATACCATAATTCGGAAAGAAAGCTAGAACGAAATTTTGATCTGAACGAACAAAGATCATGCAGCACCTAACAATTAGGGAAAATGAAACTCCCTGCTGATATTCTATCCCCAATTAAGTGGGGAAAAGATCCAAACATATCATGATACAACTCGAAACCCTTCCTCAAACCCAGATCTAATCTGAGCATTAGGCTAAATCAATTATTTTCTGGTGTATGTAAACGATTATGAATTAGGACAGGAAACATTGCCCACCAATTGGTGAACAAATGTTTGGTGCTATAAGGTAGCAGAGTTTTACAAAAAAAAAACAAATCAACATATTCATTCCGCTTACAATTGCAATTAGAATATGACAAATTTAAACGTAAAGATAAGAATCAAACCTCCAGTAGCTGAAGAACAATGCATTATGCTGAAGTTATATCGTCCATATCTACAGCGATCATCTCAGTAAATAATAAACATCGACCAACCTAGCCTCATGCAAGACATATCAGGCAAAAGCAATCGATTGGGACGAAAGAAAATGTAGAATCCATAACTTCTTTAAACACCGGCTAATCAATGATTCAACATTAGAACAAAATAAATCCACAAAACTAATATCTAATCGATAAATTTTCCAAGAATAATATGATGTCAGATAACACTAAGACGAAAGTGCAATCGAATTTCAAGGGAAAGAAAATGCAAAAAGTATCAGACGGAATCATTCGCATCCAAAATCGAACTCCATAACACAAATAGCAAAAATTACTATGAATTGATTTCAACGAGCGATGAAAATTTGAAATGAAATCAGACAGACAAGAAAACAAAGATGCATTGGCGATCAGAAATGAAGCACGAAAAGGTAATACAACAGAGAGTATGAACGAGAAACAGATTGGAGAGAATCATAAATGAGAAACGGATCGCAGTTCTTACGGCGGGAAGATTGGCGCCAAACAGCATGAATGAATATCTTCGACGAGAGAAAATTCGGGAAACTGAGGGAATGTTCGGTCCCATATTATCTGGCCCATCTTCTTAGAAGCCTTACACAAAAGCCCTAAATAAAATCAAAATTTACTGTTACTTTTTCAGTAAAAAAAAAATTACACGCTACTATGTGGCACTCACTCGCAGCGTCAGCCCATTTGAAAATCGTGAACAACCTATGCTCAAACCTCTTACCCCGTTTAAGAAGACGGTTTTTAGAAAATAAAATTAGAGAGATTTTCAAAAGAGAGTTTAAAAGCAAGATCGAAATAAATGTTGAAAACGATGTTATAGCCTATAAGCGAGAGACAACATAACAACTTAAATAGCATATAACTCCGGGTATAAAAAATTGGTGATTAGTCGCATCCTCATATAGTACATTGGAGGCATTTTAGGTCACTAGGTCTACCGAAGGCTCTGGGAAAGTCGGAATAGGAGAGCACTCATATTGGGGTGGGCTTACTACTTTGCTGCTTTCAGCAGTTATCCGCTCCATACTTGACTACCCATCGTTTACTGTGGGCATGATAACTGGTACACCAGAGGTGTGTCATTCCCGGTCCTCTCAGTGCTCTAACGCCCACGCTAGATATGGACCGAACTTTCTCACGACATTCTAAACCCAGCTCACGTACCATTTTAATGGGTGAATAGCCCAACTCTTGGAACATACTACAGCCCCAAGTGGCGAAGAGCCGAGACATGATTATGTCAAACATCATACACTTACGAAAAAAAAAAACTATACATCATGAAAGCAAAAAGTGAAAACAGTAAAGTGATACAACACAAGAGGTTTGACATGTACCGAGCGTGCAACTATAGACAATACGCTTTGGACAAGCATGACTGTGACACTCGGCCTTTTCAACACTCAACAACTAAATAGAAACTTGATTTGTACACTTGCTATAAGCGTTTTTTGCACACGTCATGCTCGGGAAATAATATATACAAGTAGTATGAAATTCATATTTTTTTTACAGCCAACAATACTCTGCCACGTGTCCTAGATGATTCACCAAACGCACTACAATGACTTAGTTTACTTTTAGTATACCAAAGTTGTTATTATTTATTACTTAATTATGAACGAAAGCTAACTTTTAAGTGGTGACTTTTGATGACGACAATTAGACTTATACAAGAAAGTTGACTATTTATTTATTTTCCAAGCCATAATTGTCACTGCTCGTGGCCCGTATGTTCCTTGTTGAAAACGTTATGTTTATACACTCGTTATAATTTTGTACCTTCTTTTAGCTTATAGCTTATATTGTCGGAGGAAGACCATTGTTAATATATATCGGGACAAGATAACTATACTGGGAGATCTTACATCGATTGGAGAGAGGAACGAGTATAGCGCAGACGCTGGACCTCGAAGGGCGTAGATCGTGAGATCCCACATCGGTTAGAGAGGGAAACGAAACGTTCTTTATAAGCGTGTGGAAACCTCTCCCTAACAGACACGTTTTGAAAACCTTGAGGGGAAATTAGGGAAAACAAAAAAAATTACAATATCTGCTAACAGTGAGTTTGAGTTGTTATATATACATTTTATCGGGTATGGAGTTGGGTTGGGTTGGGTTAGGTTAAAATCCAACTCCCCTTTTGGTCCACTCATATATGAAATCAGTGTTATCGACCCCCTCCACCGACATGAACATAGCTCGCTGTCATAAATTCGAAGACCATTGTTATTATATCGGGACAAGATAACTATTATCAAATCATATACTGTGAGATCCTACATCGATTGGAGAGATGAACGAGTGTAGCACGAACGTTAGACCACGATGGGGTAGATCGAGAGATCCCATATCGGTTGGAGATGGAAACAAAGCATTATTTATAAGCATGTGAAAACCTCTTCCTAACAGACACGTTTTAAAAACCTTGAGGGAAAACCATGAAAAAAAAGAAAAGACAATATCGGCTAACAGTGAGTTTGAGCTGTTATATATACATTTTATCGGGCATGGAGTTGGGTTGGGTTAGGTTAAAACCCGATTCCCCTTTTGGTCAACTTGTATATGAAATCAGTGTTATCGATCTCCTCCATCGACATGAACATAGCTCGACCGTCATAAATTTAAACGTGTAAAAAGTTTGAATCTTCCACCTCACACATCGTTTTTCATGACAATTGAACTAAAAAAAAATAAAAAATAAAAAATAAAAAAATAAAAGTGATCAAAGAATATCATTTACCTAAAATTCGTAATAAATTCAAACCTAATTTAATAAATATGATCTAAAATATATAAATAATTTTTAAAAACAATATTATTTTTGTTAAAACGAAGGGTAAATTTGGAATTGATTTCAAGACTATTAAAAGTGGTTTTCGAAAAATCTTAACCGTTATTTTATGTTTGGTAAAACTGATTATACGGTAAAAAAGTCATTTTTGTTTATTTTTAAAATAGATCGTTAAAAAATTAGTTACCTATTTACTTTTAAAATAGATTCATGGGAATAAGATGGACCCTTCAAAAAGTAAAAAAGCATCTTTTACCACAACCAAATTCTATCTCTTAGTTTTTTTTAAATTAATTAATTAATTAAAATCGTTTTTAAAATGACTAATACCATAATATATATATTTAATATTTAATTTAATGCAAATAACATATAAATTTAAGTAGAAAAATGTTTATATGAGAGAATCTTCAATATATTAAAAGTAAAGTTAAGAATTTTGAAAGATTAAAGTCAAAATCGTAAATAATTAAACTATAGAGGAGGAATTGCAATTCATATAAAATATAAGGGCCTTATTGTAATAATTAAACTAAAAGAGGAAAAATTGCAATTCGCCTCAAATACAGGGCCTTCTTTTTAATTCGTGTCAGGTTTTAGGCTATGAGAGCGGAAAGTAGGTGGGATGCCGGGTGGGGGATATGTTGGCAAATAACTATAAGAACAGGGGTATGCCTGTAAAAGCCTGATCTTAAAGTCGCATTGTAGCCAGAGGGTCGGTAGAGAGTCTTTTGGTGCTCTCTCCGTCGCGTAATTTCTGTGTCTTTTCCTCGCTGCAGTTTTTCCATCTCTGTAAGGTCTAGTTCTCAGTTTGATTTTGGATTCCATTTCGCGATCTTCGATAGCGATAGCGATCGCGATCGTGATTTTAATTGTTGTAAGAATTCGTGAAAAGATTTAGAGTTCAATCGATGGAGGCCGATTCCTGGAATGCTCCTTTTCAACTTTCATCGTCTCGACGCTACCGATCTCGTTCCGGTACGTTTCCGACTCGTTTGTTTTAGAAATGCTCTGTTTGGCTCTAATTTTTTTTTTTTTTTCCTGGAAATGATTGTTATCTTTTGGTGTTTTATTTTGCGTCTTGATGCAGGTGTGTACCAAGGAGATCACGAAGAAATTGAAGAGGAAAATTCGAGGACTGAGTTTTTGTGCCCGTTTTGCGCCGAGGATTTTGATATCGTAGGTCTTTATTGTCACGTCGATGAGGAGCATCCGGTGGAAGTCAAGAACGCGGTATGCCGATTTGATTATTTTGATTTATAGCATAAATATGGCCGATCTACAACTTCCTGTGATAAGTAATTATCGTATTAGTTCCTATACAGCCTGTCTTGATAATCCTGAAATATTCTGTTTTGGTTGAGATTATCATGTACTTACTGTTAAAGCTGATAAACGTGGAATTGTAATGTTATATTCTGACCCCCTTAATGAAATCTGTTCATCTTTTTTTTTTTTTCTTTTTTTTTTTCTCAACTATGGGTTTATAAATTTGTATCCTGTTGTCTCGATTGGTTTAGATTTCGGTTTTCGCCTCTTTAACAGCTCTATTTAGGGCTGTAAGGTCCTTTTATGAAGGTATTCTAACTGCATTTCTGGATTCTGCAACTTAATCTACAGTAATCTAAACTATAGATCATTATAGCTAAGGAGGTAGAGAGAGAACAAAATTTTATTTTGTCTGATCAATGATATGAATCACATGCCTAGCTTTGTTCATTTTAAAGTAAGATTATATCAACTGTACTATATTATTCTAGCATGTGATGAGGAGTGGAAATAAAGGGATATATTGAAACAATTACTGTCTTTATGGTGTCTTAATTCGTTCTTTCTGAAAGGCCTCATTAGTACATTCAGTAAACAGTTTTTATATTCGCCACTACAAAATCGGTCAAATGGGTAATATCCTCCCCTACCCCCTCGTTTTGTATAACTCTGGATAGCTTGATCATTGTGAAGATGCCATCAAAATTGTTAATTTTTGTCTCACAATTGTGTTATTGTAATTTCAGGTATGTCCCCTATGCACGAAGAAAGTGGGGATGGATATTGTTGGCCATATCATCTCACAACATGGGAGCCTTTTCAAGATATCCTTAATTTTCATTTGTGTTAATTTATCTTCTGGTGTTCAACTCAACTTTCACAGGATTTATCACCTTTTCTTTTTCATCTAGAATTACAAGTTTTGGAATGACCATAATCACTTTTGTCACTCCCAAAGATCACCTCTGTTTTTAAACTAAATCATTCAGAACCAGTTTTGGTTATCTGAAAATTACTTCTAAAAGTGTTGAACTAAACGTTAAAATAATATATATGAACATGTTTTTAACAAATCTTTAATAAAAAAATCACTTTGGCTAAAATCACTTTCGAACATGACCCAAGTCTGAGCAAAATTTAATTTACGATGTTCTGCAAAGCTATTGGTGTTTGTGGATCAGATGGAGGCTCAAGTCAATTCCTGAAATTGAAGGCCAGTCCTTTGTAATTTATGTTTGCTAATATGTAGTTATTCCACTTCCTTGACTAAAAATTACGTGCAGCGACAGCGAAGATTGCGAAAAATTGGGTCCAATTTGACATTTTCAAAGCTGAGAAAAGAGCTTAGGGAAGGAAACTTGAGATCCCTTCTTGGTGGTTCTTTACACTCTGCCCCCACAAGTACTGAGCCTGATCCCTTGTTGTTTTCTTTTACTTCTAATCTGCCTACATTCAGAAAACCTGCTAGAGTGCAGTCTCAGTCGTCAGCCGAAGTAACTACATCACAGGAAAATCCCAAGGCTCATTCAGAGAGGAGGTAAGAACACCACCCCCCGCCCCCGAATTCATATCGCATCAATAGAATATGTCGTCTTCTTTGCATGATCTGAAACCTGAACTTATCAATTGGCAGCAGTGTCTCAAGGTTGGCGGCTTCAAATAAGGATGAAAAGGAGAGGGCTCAGAAATGTGAGTTTGTACAAGGGCTGTTGATGTCTACTATTCTTGATGAGTTATGATTGGATATAGGTTCGTCGGAAGAAGAGACCATGCCAGTTATAGTATGGAACCACAAGCGTAGGTTATATCGGGATGGATTGATCTGATTTGGATATTGCAGCAGGTGGCAATAGTTATTAGGTAAACTATGCAATGTTCTATTATCCATAAGTATATATGTGCATAAATGCAAAGATGGAAGCTCTTGTTTTTATCAACATTTAGTAATATGATATGATAATGATGCTACTCTTACTCATAGATTGATTCTGTTCCTCATCCTCTTGAACTTATAAGCTTACTTGGGAAAATAATGTTGATTCCAAGCTGTTTTAAGTTGCCTCTAGACTTTGCTTCATGTTATGTTTATCCTAAAATCTTACGATTGGCCAAAAGTGTGGAATTGAAAACTGAAATTCGCATGATTTATGATTGAATTAAACAAAAGAATGGAAGATAGGAAGTGGGTTTGTTATTGTTTTTAATTTTCAATAATTGCATGAATTTAGGGTTTGCTTGGAAGGTTAAATCTTAGTGATAGTTGATGAAACAGGTCAAGAAGATATTTGGTTCATGGATTAGGTTTTGGTTTACTTAGAAGGTTCAATCTCTTATTCGTTTAGGTATTCATTTAAGAAGGTTCATTTGGCTTCTGAATTCAACCACCTTTAGATACACTTTGTTAGAGGACAAATTACTTCCCGTTTTAGCTTGTTTTGGATGAGGAAGGTTTCGAAACCCGACCCTGTAGTCCTTTGCCATATGCTTTAATCTCTTGAGCTACTGACCTCACCCGTTCTCTATTGGATACCCTAAAAATGAACATGTGCTTTGAGGGTATACCCTAAAAATGAACCTGCCACTGTCTCGAGGGAATACCCTAAAAATGAACCTGCCTCCGTCTCAGGTCTCGAGGGAATACCCTAAAAATGAACCTGCCTCCGTCTCAGGTCTCGAGGGAATACCTTAAAATTTAAAAAAATGAACCTCTCCCTATAACAAATATTACAAATATACCCTTTTTAAAGCTTTGCCCTTTTGTTCATGAATTTAATGTAAAAACTTTCCTAGGGTTTTCTTATTTGATTTTATATCTACAGGAGAACTTTTAAATATTATTTAATATGTAAACTCTCAATTTTTTTTTGTCCAAATGTTCTTTGCTCTTTTAATTTAACTTTTAACATGGGTCTAATAAATTTTTGACCTACCTAATATTTTATTAAATTCACAAATTTTCTGCCATCAAAGAATAGGTTCAATAGTCTCATCCATTCAAATCATACTTAAGAGGTCAATAAAGTTTTTTTTTTTTTTTTTTGGATATATTAAGAAATTATTAAATAAAAAATAAAAAATTGATAATCCAAACAAACACGGATCATATTAGGCAAATTCATTATTCAATTATTTTATTGAAACTTAATAATACAACTTAACATTCTTTCACCTTTGAAAATACAATCACAACTCACAAGCATAAAAAAAAAACCCCCCACGTGCACAATTACAATCAAACCCTTATTATAAGAAGCTTAAACACACATAAAAATTCAAATCCATACATATAATTATATATTTATTTATTTATATTAATATTATTTAAAATATATTTTGACTTTTGGTTTAGTTATATTCAGCAGGGTTGGCCAGGAGGTAGGCCTCGGCGGCTTTGAGAAGGCCCAATCCCTTTTCCTCGCCGATCTTGAGCTTCTGCTCGTCGATTTGGTGGTCTCCTTTGGTGTGGTAAATGCTTACGCTCTTCAAAATGGATCCTCCGTCAGGTCCCGCCGTTACCTTCAATTCCTTTGAAATTTGGTCTATATTGTCTGATAAAATCTCCCCTTCTAACACCGTGTATTTGTAAGTCAACGATTTTTCGTCCACTACGTCCAGCCTGTGCTTTATGGATTTCACTTGCTCGCCTGCAAAAATATTTATATATACATTTTTTTTTTTCAATTTTTAGCTTATGACTATGACTAATTATAATCCAAGCTATAAATGTAATTAATTATTATTTATTTTAGTCTATTCGATCTCTTTTTTTTTTTAAGTTTTATTTATCATCACTTTAGTGTTTTTTTTAATTTTTTTTAAATATAAAAATATTTATTTAAAGTCATAAGACTCTAACACATTTTTTTCTAATAAATTTTTTAACTTTAAAAACGTTAAATAGATATTTTTAAAAAAAGTTTTATTTATCATCTTTGGTGTTTTTCTTTTAATTTAAGCCTTTAATTTTTTTAAAAAAATAAAAAATATATATATTTAAAGTCATGTCTAACACATTTTTCTAATAAACTTTTAAATTTTAAAAATATTAAATAGATATCTTTTTTTTTTTAATTTAAATTTTGTGTACAACAAATTCTTAGCATATTTTACATTTTTTTAAATTAATTGACCTATTTGAGATAAAATTAATTTTTATATCTAATAAAATCTTAAAATTTTCATTTTGTATTTAATAAATTAGTGTAAATTTTAAAAAATATATAAAAATGTCTAACTCTCAGACATAAAATAAAAAATTAAACAAAATTAGATAGTTAAGTGTATATTATTGTGAGTGATGCTAATTTCACATTACCGTGACTGAAGGTGATAATCTTGATAGTTCCGGGACCGCCATCTCCTTCGACAACTTCAGTTTTGGGCTGATGTGGCACGATCTTGGGGTAAAGTCGGTCGGCATCAAGAATAAAAGCCTTGAAGAACTTGGCCGGAGGAATGACGGTGGTCACCTCATTTTCGTACGTGAAAACACCCATTGCTATCTCACAGCTTGGTAACTTTAGCAGAAGAAAAATAGAGAAGCTTATGATGAAGGGTCACGGAAATGGTCTATTTATAGTTGGGAGATGAAGCTTGCAAATTCCATTTAATAATTAAATATATATTTTTTGAAAATCATTTAAAAGTTTAATTTAATTATTTTTAATGTGAAAATGCCGATGGCGTTGACGAAGCTCCATTTGATTTCCCATTGTTTATCACTAAATACATTTAGTCAAATTAATGCTTTTAAATAAACTTTTAATTGGCTAATTAGAGATGAACCCATCAATCTATCTAATCGAGATCGAGATCAATAGCGATCGAGATCAATAGCGGAGACTCTTGCAACAGTTGAAGTAAAAAGTCCTTAAGCGAGCGTATTATGGTGGACCGTCAAGAGACTATCAAGCACATCCGACAAGGTCATAGCAACGAGCCATCAGATGTTCGCAGTTTTACAATCGTACATGAGTGTCGTAAGTTGTCGTTATATACTCCGGCGAGTCGTTTAGGTCTTCTCTAATTAACATTAAAGTTTTTAAAACGTGTATGCTAGAAAGAAATTTATATACCCTTATAAAGAATATTTTGTTCTCCTCCCCAATTGATGTGGGACCTCATAATCCACTAGCGTTCTCGCTGGCACTCCGCCTGATGTCTGACTCTTTTCTACACCCTTATAAAGAATGTTTTGTTCCCCTCTCCAACTGACATGGGATCCCACAATCCACCCAACGTCCTCGTTGGCTTTCTGCCCAATGTTTGACTCTGAGACCATTTATAACAGCTCAAGCCTACCACTGGCAGATATTGTCCTCTTTGAATTTTCTCAAGGTTTTTAAAATGCGTATGCTCGGGTGAGGTCGTTCCCCGATCTTTTTTCCCTTATGAATTTGATTAAGTTGAACTTTTAAAAATTAAAATTCAATTAAATTTGTAGGTTGAAACTTTTTTTGTCGGTTCAATCTGACCAACTCAAAAATAGGGTTCACGACCATCCTATTATTTTAATTGTCATTATGAATATTATGAGTTATTTAATTTTTAAATTTTAAAAATTTTTAGCGAATAAATATAATTTCTAAAATATTTAAATAAATGATTAATCTGTCAATTCAAAAATTTTAATCCCAAATTTAATAGATATTACGTTATCCATGAACATTGACTATCATTTTGATCTATTTATGTATTTATTTAATATTTAATTTGTTTGAACACAATAAAACGTTCCCCTCAGGCTACTAATATTTTAATCACTTCTAGAAGCATGATATGACCGTTTTTAATAAAATAAACCAATTATGTATTAAAAAATTAAAATTTGACAAATTCTTCTACTAATATTAAATTAACCATAATTATTTCATTAACACTAAAATTTTTTTTGTATTCAGCAATAATGTATTATAAAAAGATCATATAATTAGCAACATTTAAAAACAATATTCTCAATTATGAGATGTAGATAGACAGTTTATGTTCATATATTACCCGTAAGAAATTTAAAAACTTTGAATGGTAGGCTGAAAAGAAAATTCAAAGAGGACAATATCTACTGGTGGTGGGCTTGAACGATTATAAATGTTTTTATAACCAAACACGGGCTATGTGCCGCCTGAATGACTCATTTTGATCATTTTCTTTCAAAATAATAATTATTATTCAACCAATTTTAATAAAATTGGTATTTTTTAAAAATAATAATACCAAACACTTATGGAAGTCACCCGAGAAACTCGTCTCGCAATACTTGCCATCACTGTGCCACACACGTGTTAGCTCCATTAGGCCACATGACCTAGGGGTGGTGGAGAATTGACATCATGCCTCCTGGTGATATGAACGACATGTTGGTCTGTTCTCAATGACATGACCAAATAAGCTATGATAGCCAACGACACTCCATAACTTGTGAGTTAAATACGAGTCATGTTAATTCGGATCCAAGATGATGTTGGATGCAATGTTGCATTAAGAGACTTTCGTCTCGGATAGAGACAAGGTCGAGCCAAGCCAAATGACTAGATATGTGTAGAAGCCAGTCGGCTGTGTTGCAGATGATTGAATATTCACGCGCAGACGGGCGTGTGTGGTCGAGTTATCTCCTTCACACCTCACCACCAAAGACCACTTGATCGACCATAAATGTTTGAAATACAAAATTTAAATTATTAGTATATTGTGTTTCAATAGTAATTATTTACAATAATTAAATATTTTAAATATGTAGTAATTATTTTTATGAAATTATCTAAAATAAAATGCTTTTTTTTTATTAGTCACTCCCTGAAATTAAAACTTCCAAGATTTCAAAGTGGGCCACGTGTGCAAAAGTGGGCCCACTTCAACGGGCTCCGATCCAATAACGGACAGCTATTGAGATTTGTCGTTATCTTCTCCCCACCACTAATTTCATCCATTCATCGTACAACACTCCTTTTATAACATAATGGCCACTCCATTCGTGGCTTCAATACTTTAATTCTACTTCCGTAATATTTCATTTTTAATAATAATAATAAATAAATATATTATATATATATATATATAATTTGTAGTTTAAAAATTATTAGTGTTCTTAAAAATAACGAGACTTTGGGCCTGAGTAAAAGTTAGGTCGAGATGACTCGACCTAGGATAGACGCAAGTCAGTTGGGTATGCAGAGGAACATGCACGCGCAGACGACATGTATGGCTGAATAAGGTTGGATTCCGTACGAGCGATGTTCAGTTGGCCAAGATAAACCTTGCTTAAAGTTCGACGAAGCCACAAAGCAAGGCGAAAAATGAATATGAGGATTAAGTTTCCTTTAAATCTGGTCGTGAGCGTGTCAAGATCACGACACCACACCGTTGAAAAAATACTGAAAATAAGATTAAAATTGTTACCTTTTATTAAATTTGAAAAAATATTTAAAGTAATTGTCTATAGACAATATTTCAATAACATAAAAAAATATTTTGTTTATATAAATTTTGAAGTTTAAAAGTAAAAAAATTAATATTTATTTATTTATTTTGTGTATAATTTAACCTAAAAAAAATTAATATTTAAAAAAAGAAAAGAAAAAATAATAATGTAAATAGCTCACACTTTTAACAGTACCCTTGACTTTATAGTCAAAACTTTGTTTTATGCTTTTATTTGGTTTCGGCGATCGGAATTTGTTATGGAAACGTCGAGCATACTTTAAGAATGACGAAACTACCCTTACTATCGTCGCAGACGCCAAGCAAAGATTTATCTCTGCCTTTCCTCAAAACAAACGCAATAGTCTCTCCAGAATTTAGGAATCATATCCGCCTTCCTGAATATCTTCTTCCTTTGTTCTCCCTTCTCTTGATTCTCCAATTTCGGAGCCCTATATTCTATCGGCATTTGATTATAGGCACTTTTGTGGTTTTGTTTTTGTGTTAATTTGCAACGAAATCATCGCATTCGAGTTTGATGGTTTTTTTCTTGAGGTTTCGATCTCCATAATTCGATACCATGGCGGCCGGCGCATTGGCAACCTATGCGGGAGCCGCTTTGCTTATGTATTATCTTCTGAGCCGGAGATTGGCAGCGAAAGGTGATGAAGACGATCGGAGTGATAATTTGTCCGAATCGATTAGATCGGGAAGGAGAAGGATCTCTCGGAGGCCGGCTCAGGCGCCGGCGACGTGGTTTGAGACGATTACTACTCTATCGGAGACTCTTAGGTTTACGTACGCCGAGACCTTGGGGAAATGGCCGATCGGCGACTTGGCATTTGGCATTAATTACTTGATGCGGAGACAGGTGCGCTCTTGTTTCCTTGAGATTTTTTGTTGTTCGATTTGTCAGACGCGACTCGCGATCTTTCACTGTACGACGCGCATTCGCTTTTTGTTGTCTCTCTTTTTTTTTTTTTTCTTCTTCGTTTTGGTTCGTTTCAAGAGTGTGAACCTACACAAAATTCCGATTGTAGTTTGAGAGCCTCATTTGTTGTGCACATTAAGGACGATGCATTTTGATTTTTGAGTCTTGATATGCCGTAATTTATTGGACGATTCTATGGTGCTTTTATTTCTTTGTTTGCGAATGCCTCTTGTTTTCCTTGTGCCAGAACTTGAAAGTGAATTTAGTCCTGAGGTTAATGTATATTTTGATAGTCTGGATTTAGAGATGTTTCTCTGCCACGAGTTGCGATCTCGCACTGTTCGACTTACATTCGCTTCTTGTTGTTTTTTGGTTTTCCTCATTTCCGTTCGCATCAAGAGTGTGACTGTGAGCTACAAAAAATTCCAGTGGTCGGTTTAGAGCCTTTATTTCTCGAACGCCAACATAGGAACTTATTTTTGATCTATAAGATACTCGACATGTACTAATTTATCCTCACTGTTTTGGATTTCTGTCTCTTTTTTTTTTTCTCTTGTTGTATGTTCGTTCATTTTGAATGCTTGCTGTTTTCCTTGAACTCAACGCGAAAGAGATTTTAGTTATGAGGTCATGGATTTAGCGGCCATGTTACTCTGCCACCACCATCGATCTTTCACTGCTTGACGTGCATTGGCTTGTTTCATTTCTTCCCCCGTTCCTGTTCGTATCAGTATTCAGAAATATGAATTACACATTCCTGTGGTCGTTTAGGAGCCTCCGTTTCTGATAGATTACGTTGTTCTACATTTAAATGTCTTCATATGTCGTAATCTATTGTTTCCGATTTAGATTTTGTAGTGTTTTCTTTTCTCTTACAGATGATTGTTACTTTTCATGTACCGGATCTTGGAAGTGAATTGAAATCAGTTCCGAGATCATCATGTAATTTCTGTAATTTGGACTTAGCAACGTTACTTTGCAGGGTAATTTACAAGTTGCTAATGTGTATGCGGGCAACGACAGTGTACAACTCAGAGGTCCTGAAATTATCGCAGAGTTGAAGAGTTTCTTGCGGTTGCTCACCTTCTGCATGCTCTTCTCTAAGAAACCGTTCCCAATTTTCTTAGAATCTGCTGGCTATTCTCAGGAGGATGTGCTAATTCAGAAACCAAAAGCAGGGGTATTTAACCTTCT